CCTGTGCCAAAAATCATTAGGATATTAAGTAAAGATCATGTTCCATGAACATATTTTGTACTTTTCCTACTGTAACTATATTAAAACTTAATTTTGGATTAGTAATATGCATTGCTAAGAACTTCATTGGGACAACTTTAAATGTGATTTTCTCAATATTTAGATTATTTTTGCACCCTCAGATTCCAGATATATATATATAATGCAAACACAAGCATTTTCACCAGTAGCTTCACACTTCTGAGCACACTATATGTGCTAATGTAACTTCACTCAGATATCAGTTGAGCTCATTATTTTCGGGAGAATATAAAGATGATCACCCCCATTTTTTATTTTTATTTTATTTTTTGTACTTTTTCAGAGTTTTTATGCAACACACATTTGATCTAAAAAAAAAAGATGTCAAGTTGCTCTAATGAAACCCACATTCTAAATATAATTTTACATTATATAATTAACGGACATTAATTTAAATTTACAGAATATATCTATGAAAAATGTTACCTTTTTATAAATTACAACAATTCAGAATTCTTGCACTGGATCTAGACCACTGATGTTTTAGACAATGCACTATTATTTTTAAAAATATGGACGAATAAAAGCAGAATTGACAATTTCTCCATTACTATTCAACCCATTATGATTCTTTGCAAATTCATCATTCTTACCCATTTTGATTTATCCCGTTTTGCCTTTCTTTTTAATACATCCACATGTGTTTAATGGTGGAGGAGTATATCAGTGTCTGCAATACTTTAGCCAAATGGCTAACAGCACCTTTAAGTGACTATTTAGTCAAAAATATAAATGCAGCAGCACCCTATGGATGAGTTTGTCCTGTACCGTTGAGCTGGGTGTGTTTGTCCCATATCCAGAGGAGGGAAGAGAGGCCAGAGACCAGCGTCTGCCGTCAGCCCTACAGAGAGAGACAAACTGAAGTTTCGTAATCCATTCCAAAACCTACCAGATGCACAGTATTACTATAGTTTATCTGAGTTTATCTTAAGTGAAAAAATGAAAATGAAATACAAGTACATGTTTAAAAGCTAAAGTTCAGCTAAATGTTTCATCGTCCCTCCCACATTAAAATCAAAAGTATGAAGCAAAATTAAAATGTAGGTATGTTCAGTATGAGTCTGCAAATGAAAGAAATGAATACTTAATACTTTAATGCAAAGATGCATTCAGTTTTAGATCAAAAATGACAGTAAAGACATATAATGGTATAAAAGATTTATCTTTTAAATTAATGTTGTTTTTTCACTTTCTATTCATCAAAAAATCTTGAAAAAGTCACATTTTCCACAAATATATTAAGCAGCACAACTGTTTTCAACATTGATAATAATCAGAAATGTTTCTTGAGCAGCAAGTGAGCATATTGAAATGATTTCAGAAGGATCATTTGACACTGAAGACTGGAGTAATGATGCTGAAAATTCAGCTTTGATCACAGCAATAAATTACATTTTACAATCTATTCAAATAGAAAACAGTTTAAATTGTAACAATATTTCACAGTTTTTCAGTTTTTACTGTATTTTTAATCAAATAAATAACCGACTCATTTCATAAACATTAAAAAAAACTTCCTGACTGTATTTTTTCAGCTTTTCATAGATTAAATGTAAAGCATGTCATTTCAGTGCCACTAGCAGCAACAAACAGAAACATCAGCTCAACCAATGGCGTGCATTGGGGGCAGGGCTTCCCGTTTGGATGTTCGAAACTTGTATGTTTGATATTTCTTGTGTAAAACATTAAATGTGAGTGGGTAAGTGCAGTTATCACAGTCCTTTGTGGGCAGAGTTTATGAGTCCGTTTCATGTGGCGGCATTCTTGTGTGGTTGCTAGGCAACCGTCGTGCGAATTTCTGTGCGGGTAACATTCCCAGTGGGGTCATTAAAACAACATAAGAAGAGAGCACGTTCAAAGGAGAACCAGTGCGCTCAGAACCAAAAGTTCCTTATAATGAAAGGAGTATCTCAGCAGGGCCGAACCACTCGGCTTGGCCCGAGAGTTTCAGGACATTTGTTGATGGTGTACATGCACAAACTTTTGGGCTGGATTGTGTCTTCTTCGTCAAGCACTATATTTCATGTTCCTGTGTTTGCTGAGAGCAGCTGCTCTGTGCTTTGGACAGGATTGATGACACATACTGTGCAACCATCTCGCTGCATGAGATTTATACTGGCTAAATCCAATATTAGCCCTCGCAGGACAGGGGTGCGTCAGACGGGAAAGAACGCGCGGATCAATCGTCTGTCTCTCGTCCCTCAATCTCTCCTTTGCACTCGTCTTTCAAAACAAAAGGATGTTTGATGGGCTGTCGTTCGCTGGGGAAAGATGATGCTGAGATATGTGTGTGTTAGCCGTCTGGAGAATCTCCTTCCTTCCTGCTGCTGCTCACAAACAGACACATTTAACTTCGCCGAACCTCAGAACCAGAGCAAAAGCAGACTTCATTTTACAATGAAGAACCTTCTCTGACCCTAAATGAACAGCTTTAATAAAGAAATAATTATTATAAAATATTATAATATCATGGCAGTTATTTTTATGATAAGAATAAATGAATGAATAAATAAATAAAACAGGATAAACAAACGGAAAATTGACCTTTATTCAGAAGATTAAAATATGTTTTAAGATTTTTTTCAAATGTACACTACCATTCAAACATTTGGGATCAGTAAGATTTAATTTTTTAAAAAAGCAATTATACTTTTATTCAGCAAGGACAAATCAAATTAATCAAAAATTTACAGTAAAGACTTTTATAATAATACAAAAGATTTTTATTTCAAATAAATGCTGTTTATCTGAACTTTCTTCTCATCGAAGAAAAAAAATATCAGTTTCTACAAAAATATTATAAGCAGCACAACCGTTTTCAACATCAATAAAAAGAAATGTTTCTTGAGCAGCAAATCAGTATATTAGAATGATTTCTGAAGGATCATGTGACACTGAAGACTGGAGTAATGATGCTGGAAATTCAGCTTTGATCACAGGAATAAATTACATTTTACAATATATTACAACAGAAAACAGTTATTTTAAATTGTAATAATATTTTACAATATTACTGTTTTTATTTTATTTTTGATCAGCTAAATGCAGCCTTGGTGAGCAGAAGGAACAAGAGCAAAGAGTTTTGCATTGCTTGGTCAAAAATGTAAAGAAAAAACTAGCAACGTCTGTATTGTCTGTATTGATTTTTAGCTTAGCTCTGGATGTTAAAGGAACACACCACTATTTTTTGAAAATAGGCTCATTATCCAACTCCCCTAGAGTTAAACAGTTGAGTTTTACTGTTTTCGAATCCATTCAGCCGATCTCCGGGTCTGGCGGTAGCACTAGGGGAGTTGGATAATGAGCCTATTTTCAAAAATAGTGATGTGTTCCTTTAAGCCTGTTTGAGTCTTGAGATTGTTGTGTTGTTGAGCAGTGAAATCAAGATCGACTAGGGAAAATGTGCAGTTTCAGTCAGGCTGCACACAAACTCGATTTGTTCTTCAACGATTAAATCTGATCTGTTTGGTTTGTCAGTGCCGTCAGTATAAGTTGTTGGCAAAAGCATGACAGCTGAGAGTGGCAGCCAGTGTGGAAAGAGAGGACGGATAACTGGGATGTCCATCATGACATCATGAAGCGCATGAGACACAGAGACATTACTGTACTGCTATGACTAAACAGATTTGAGACGGACATGCCAAAAACATCAGATTTGTGCAGGCTGTCTAAACAAGGCCTAATGGATCAAATGGAGGACAGCTTCTTGGTTGTTTAGCTATTTATTTACCTTCTGGATGAGGCAAAAGAGAAATGGGCCGGTGCGCTGGGGGAGAACGTCCTAGGACTGTCCAGCGGACTGCTTCCTGTGGGACGGACAGAGAGAATAACACATGTAGATAGATTGGATGTTTCTGTATCTCAGAGGTGCAGATCATGTGATCAGTGAAGAGTGCTCTGCTCACCAATGTGTCCTGGTAAAGGAGAGTGAGGCCGGGGAAGAGTGGGAGACGTACTCGTCAAGATCAGACTCTTGCGGTTACTGGTGCGACAACTGAAAAAAAACAAAACAACCACACACATTCAGGATGGTAAAGAAAACGGCCAATGATTTGCTTGTATCTAGACTGGAGCTACTGAAAAAAATAATACGTTTTTAGTTTTGTAAGTTACATAATGTAACGATATAAATCAGTTAAAATAATCACATTACTGATATATTACTCTTTGTAAAAAATTATAACACAAGTATAAATGACCAATAACACAAATTAAAAATGACCAAACCTGATGCATCTTAAAATCAACACAAATAAATAATTATAGTAAATTAAATATATATATACTCAACACAGACTTTCTAACCTCAGAGAACTGCTGAGATTGAGGAATAAAGTTGAGTGAATACAGCGAGTGAAGCCGGACACAAGGGACGAACAAGAAAGTGAAATGGCATGCTGCCACGGCAACAACACCAACAGCCTCCGCAGGACAAATCAGCAAAGGGATTGGCTGGTTAAGACTTCACCACGTCCAATAAAACTCCCTCAGACACAGCTGTGGATGACAGCTCGCTTAATGACATGATGCAATAATCGGAAAGTTTATTTGCATAGAGTGAACAACTTGCTCATCACACCTGATCTAAGCGTGTATGTGTGTGTGTGTGTGTGTGTGTGTGTGTGTGTGTCGGTGCGTACTGATTCAAATCTCAAGTGATCCTCCCATTTTTTCCCACTGCTCTCCTTCCTTCTGATCATCTTTTCTGTCTCTTGTTCTTTTGCTTTGCTTTCATCTGTTTCTTGTAGTGTCTCAGGCTGCATGTTGCCCTATAGATTCCCATCTACAAGTGTGTGTGTGTGTGTGTGTGCGTGTTTTTGTGACATATGTGGACACAAATTTGTATATTGACATGGGCATGACATAGGTATTACAAGGAGAAGGTGACTTATGAGGACATTGCCCCATGTCCCCATATTTCAAAACGCTTATAAATCATACAGAGTGAGTTTTTTTGAGAAAGTAAAAATGCACAAAGTTTCCTGTAAGGGGTAGGGTTAGGTGTAGGGCTGGTGTAGGGCAATAGCACATACAGTTTGTACAGTATAAAAACCATTACGCCTATGGCCCCACAATTCACAAAAAGAAATGTGTGTGTGTGTCAGAAAAACACACATGGTTAAGAACATATCTATTTCACTTTTAGCCCCAGAATCAAAAGAAGTAAACAACAAATATTATTTTCCTAAAGAAATATTTGAGTGTTTTTTCTATTCTGACAGTATTTTTCATGACAAACTGTCATGCACATATTCTCAATCTCAAAATTACAAATTGTAGTCTGTTACTGATTACAAATTACATGACAAAAATTGTAGTTTGTACTGTAATCTATTAGATTACACTTATTAGGTAATGTATTCTGACTACTTTTTGATTACTTTTAGATGACTTTTGACCTAAGAAAATCTATCCCATTCTTTATCAACATCATGAAGCGTATTGAACATTACATTACTCCAGGGTTTCCCAAACTGGGGTTCGTGAATGAACTGCGGGGGGTTTGAAAAAAAAAAAGTCAAATTAAACTAACTAATATCATGGAAGAAATTGTTGTACAGCCATTCATTAAAAAATTCACATTACCATAATGCATGAAAATATATACTTTTTATGCTTTTAATTATTATTTAATATCATGTCATATCATGGTTGTGCCAAAAAAAAATCAGTACAGTTCCCTAAAATTGGCAGGTAAACTGTGGGATATCTTGTGCGGCGTCACACATGTATCAATAACTAGATGTTTAGAAAAATTAGAAACTGAGTAAAATAAGTAAAACATGCAGATGCATTAAAAATTTCAGTATCTTTTTAAAAAAAAAATAAAATTCCCCATTTCTTTCTTGTGATGGTGAAATATGACCAGGGCATGTTGTTGACAGGTTGGTGTCTCGGTTTGACAGGGTCTTATCAGTATTCATGAGCTCTGCTTTCTGCTCCATATAACTTTGCTACTAGCTGCAATGTAGTCGTTTTATGCTTTAAACTCAAACACACACACACACACACACACACACACACACACACACACACACACATGTTGTGTTTCCATGTTTTATGGGGACATTCCATAGGCGTAATGGTTTTTATACTGTACAAACTGTATGTGCTATTGCCCTACACCAACCCTACACCTAAACCTACCCCTTACAGGAAACTTTGTGCATTTTTACTTTCTCAAAAAAACTCATTCTGTATGATTTATAAGCTTGTTTCCTCATGGGGACCTAAAAAATGTCCCCACAAGGTCAAAATTTACTAGTATTACTATCCTTGTGGGGACATTTGGTCCCCATAACGTGATAAATACCAGGTACACACACACACACAGTATTTGAAGCTTATATAACATCTTACATTTACAATGACATAAATGTGTATATAAATGTGCTCTAGATTTTGTTTCTTTCCCCTTATAATACAGTATAATACAGTGGCTACTACGGTTTCTGCGATAGGAAAACTATGCGCAACAACTTTAGCAATTTAAATGAAAACAGATGTTTTTGAGTCTAATTCTCACAAAATCTCACAATTAAATGTTCAGTATCTATTTCAAAAGGAGAATATCTTAAGAAAACAGGACACAACATGAGGGGAAGAGGCCGAGGACGAGGCATAGATCTGGAACTAAAAATCGCAGCAGTTGTCAGACCGAATGCGTCTCTCCCCTCGGCTTCTCTCTTATCATGAAGAGCCTAATGCTCGGTGACAAGAAACCACATTGTAGCCGAACAGATAGAGTGTGTGCATTGTGAAATATTTAACAGAAGTGCATTAGCATCAGACTGCAGGAAGCAGTAAGTAATGTTCTTCCCTCGAACCCCCAGTGAGATAAAAACAGCTAATTGTCCGCACTTTCCTTCTTGTCGTCTCTCTGCATCTCGGTTTCACTTCACTAAGACTATCACAGATCACTAAAGTATGAGAGTGTGTGAAGATTCATAAAAAATATGAGCTTATAAACCTCTCTCTGCTTGTCTCTCACTCTTCCCCATCTCTCTCTCTCTCTCTCTCTCAGATGGCGAGTTAGACTACGCGATTGCTTTCACAATTATTATTTTGATTTTTCTTCTTTTTTTTTATTTTTTTTATTGAATTTAAATAAATAGGTTATTGCTAAGGATACAGTTTTGCCCCAAATATGACTAAATGAATAAATGTGTTAAAAAATTTCAAAAACAAAACTTCCATCTCTTTGCCTCTTTGTAATTAGAATTAGTTCTTTAAAACATTTTTGTGATTGCTTTATTTTTTTAGTTAGAAAGCATGTGAAAATTCAAAAACTTGCCTCTTTGTAATGAGTTTTTTGAATGAATAGTTAAATTATGTGATTGTTTTCATAGCTCTTTTTATTTTTCTTTCCTAAATTTAAAGTCCACATGAAATCAAAATTAAAGTTTTTTGGGTGTTAGTATCAATATGTTAGTCTTAAGGTTATCTATAAGGCAGTGTGCTCCAAAACAGTGACAAAATTCGCATTTAGAAGATATACGCATTCAAAGCTTGCAGTTCGTCACTTCCGTCAAAACGGCTCAACGATTTTTTTGACGTCACATCGTACTTCAGCTTCTCATCAAACTTTCTGTCCAATCAAATGCTCTCCAGAATCCGAAGCGCCCGCCCCCTACACTAGACTTAAGACTGGTTTTGTGCTCCAGGGTCACATTTGCCTTTTAACATTAAGTTTTATATACAGTATATATTTATATCAGTTTTATTTCAATTTTACTGAAAACAATTTTTAATAGTTTTAGTTTTTGAATTAATAATAACAGCAGTGATCTGAACTCAGAAAAACAAAGAAAAAATCGCTAGCAGATGAATAAAAAGTAAACATGTGGCTGTAAAGAAGAGAAGGCTGGATGGTGCGGTATCTCTTTCATATAGCTGGAGACAGGATGCGTTCATATCTCTGAAACACAAAGCATGACTGACAGGCGGATCTTATATCCCCTGTTTCTGAGCTTTTCTGCGTGTAACAGAATAGTCGGGAGAGGAAATATGTGTGTCTGAGTGCATATGCTTGATCTGCGTCGTGGATCTTGGTTCAAGCCGAAGAGGGCAATAAATCACACACAGCCACCCGTGGAGCAAACACCGGCGCCTGATGCTCTTCTGATGCTGCCAATCACGACTGCATTACAGTGCCAAAAATAAAACACACACACACACACACACACACACACACACACTACAATAACACTGACATTCAGCAGCACTGACCCATTTAGCAAACTCTCTTTCATTAACTCCCCTCAGTGTTTCTCTGTAAACAAACAGAGCTTTTTTCAGTGTTTGCGAAGCGCTTCAATAGCAGAGAAACATCTGATTTATCCTTCACGGCCTCTGCCGGGCCATCAGGAGGAATCATTGTTGATTTGTAATGCTCAATTCATCAGGAAAAGTTCATCCAAATGCTCAATTTCAAATGCTCGAAACAAAAGAAAAACATTTTCATGCTATTCGACTGGGTGAAAGCACACAGTTTATGGTTTCAAGGGGAACTACAGGCGTATAAAACTGCATATCAAAGAATATGACTACAGTACGCTCTGAAAATGAATAATGCTGGAAATGTAAGTCTGCAATGGCATTTGGTTTGACATACAAAAGAGACCAACAAGCTGTAAATGTATAAACAATGAAAGCACGACAGCATTAAAAGTCAAATTAGCTTGGTCTTTTTATCTACATTTAATTCTCTAGTGTACAAGCATCACTTTTTAAAACACAATTTGGTTTATTAACATAAGTTGTTGAATTAGAACCAATGACAAATCATAATATTCATTATTACCTACAAAATCCCATGACTGACTATGTTAGATGTAGGATTTTTGTTCAAATATGTCATGAGAAAAGTTATTATAGTTAACTAAAACTAAAACCATAAAAAAAAACTTAAAATAAAATACAATAAAAATAAATAAAAACCCAAACTTATATCATGTCAGCTTGCCAAGGCAACATTTCTCATTTTCATTGTTA